GTCTTCCCAGTCATCCCAGTCATCCCACTGGTTTGACATGGCAGCTGGGTTCTTTGAGCCAAGGCCTTTTCCAAAACCCAGGTCTTTTCCAAAACCTAGGTCTTTTCCAAAACCAAGGTCTTTTCCAAAACCTAGGGCTTTTCCAAACCCAGTGAAAGGGTTGTTTTAACCCTTGGATTTCCCAACCCCAACTACAAAATTTTGTGTTGCGGCTGTGACCTAGTGAGTGTTAGTTGTTATGTTGCTTGTCCCGACATATATGCTGCTGTGAGTTGTAGCTGTGGAATTGTTTGCAAAATTGCTATGTGTTGTAAGTGTTGTGGTGTGGTGTTTGCTGTGAGCCTGCTCTTAGCTGAGTTTAAAACAGCTGCAGAAACATAAAATGCATTGGGGCCCAAAACTACCTGCCCCTTTTTCAAAGAGCACATAAGACATGCATGTTTTTTTAAATGCAAACAGTTTGTTACAACTTTTATACAAGAACAAACCATGCAGGTTTGAAAACATGTTTGAAAACAGGTTTGGGTGTGTGTATATATATATATATATACATACATACACACATTCATATATATACATATATATATGCACATGTGGTATATTCCTATTTTAAAAAGCAGTGGTTATATCTATATGTATATACATGTGTATATATGTATATATGTGTGCATTTATTTATTTATTCATTCATTCATTTATTTATTTATTTGTTTATTTAAGGGGGTTTGAAGTGGTTTGTTTTGGTTGGGTGACACCAGCCTAACCCCTCCTGGCCCCAGTGCCTTCTTGGATGCTTTTTTCCTCAAGCAAAATTAGTCAGCTGTGGGCGGGCCCCATGTTGGGGCTTGCCTTGCTAGACACTTCTCAGATGCATGCCCTTTTCCAAAGGCACCCACTTGCTTCAAAATTGCTGGAGCACTTTTCCAAATGCTTGAGGTGCACATGCAGCATCTACCAGTTGGCACCCCATTCCTTGCAAAGTTTTTCCCTCAGGGCTATGGCCTCTGACTTTGTCAATGCTTCCTTTTCCAAAGAAGTCCAAATCTCATCAATAATTTGGCCGTGCCAATCTGGGCACCTAGCACCAGACACTTCCACAATCAACTTCAACTTTCCACCTTTTTCTGTGGTGCCTGTCAAGTAAGCTCTGGGATTCTTCTTGGCCACTGTTTTCTTTATCTTGAGCCAAGGCTTTCTCTTCTCCTTTTCCAAAGAAGTTTTTGCATGGTTCTTCTTTTCTTTCTTATTATTCTTGCCTGCATCTTCCTTGGGCTTTGCTTTCTCTACCTTTTCCAAAGCAGATGCTGGCCTTTTCAGTGCCTTTTCCAAAGCAGATGCTGGCCTTTTCAATGTTTTTTTTCCCATACCCCAAGGCAGCTTGCAAGCCATCCTTTTCCAAAGATACCATTTGCCCAGGCCTTTTTCTGGCAATGCACACTGCAGCAGCAGAGGAAGTGCCTTTTTTCTTTGGTGTGCCTGCATTGCTGTCTTCAAACATCTTGGGGAAACCTTTGCTATCCATGGAAACATCACTGTTTTCTTTTTTCAGCTTTCTCTTTGAATTTTCTGCTGCTCTTCCCTTTTCCAAAGGAAGTGCCACTGGTTTAGGTGCCTTTTCCAAAGCATCTGGGATTTCCAGCAGCTTCAAACCTTGCTGCAGCAGTGAGAAATCATCTCTGCAGAGTTTGGCAGCAGCAGTTGTGAGCCCATCCCTGCCCAGCTTCCTCACATGGAAGAGGATGCAAGAGATCCTTTCCATTCTCAGGTTAGCCCACACCTGGCCAGAGCTCGAGGTGCAATTCAGCTCTGGCCTCTCAGCCAACAGGCTGATCAGTGCTGTCCTCAGAGGTTGAGGATGAACCTCTGCAGAAGGTTCAAGTCTCAGCACTGACTTCCAGAGCCAATGGTGTGGACCAACCCTTTTGGGCAAGGGCAATTGGCTTTGGAGACATGCTCATAGCTGCGCAGGTTCTTCAAAACCAACACATTGTCTGCCAATACTTTGTAAAGCAGACCTGAATCTATGTAAGGTTTTGGAAAGTGTCTGGCACCACCCTTTCCTGCGCCTTTTCCAAAGCCCTCTTCTTGGCCTTTTCCAAAGCCTTCACTTTGGCATTTTCCAAAGCCTTCACTTTTGCCTTTTCCAAAGCCTTCACTTTTGCCTTTTCCAGAGCCTTCACTTTTGCCTTTTCCAGAGCCTTCACTTCCACAGCTGTCACTTTTGCCTTTTCCAAAGCTTTCCATGTTTGATGTGTATATCGATTTCTATGTTTTAGCTATAAACAGCTGCAGAAACATATGAAAACCATGTGCTGCAGCAGCAAAATGGCTACTAGACAGGCCTGGAAAAACACCAAAAAAATCAAAAGAAAAACCTCCATCGAAAACAAGCAAAATCAAAAAGGACATTCCTAACAAAATGCCTCAAAGCAAGGATTTTTCCTTTTTGATTTTACCTCTTCAAAAAAAAATCAATTTAAAAATCATAGGGGCTAATTGATTGTAATCAAAAGGCGATGCTCAGGGGTCTTCAGACTTGAGGAGCTCGCCGAGAAACTTGGTTTTGAACTGACCCTCGACTTGCTGGGCGATGATGATGTAGCAGGCACCACACAAGGTGCCAAGCAGATCAGATCTGCTGCTGCAGTCCTCAAAAATCATGCCCGCTCCTACATGAAGCAGGCACGAAAAGCGGGGATGACATTGCTCCAGCGTCTGTGAACGGACGCCTACTACGCCTTCAACTGTGCGGTTCAGGACCTGACGCCGAAATGTATGCACTGGATTACATGTGCTCGGCAATGTCGTGCTCCCGAGCATCAAGCGCACGCGGGAGGAAATCCGAACTGGAAAGATTCGGCAGTACAAAGCACGTATGTGCATGGTCGCATACGAAGGGGGCCAGATGCAGACGATCGTCGTTGACGATCATGTTCTCATCTGGTACCGCAATCGCTTTTACAGAGCTAACCAGTTCGCTGCCGCCTACGCCTTGATCCCCGTGGCCGACAGATTTGAAGTCCTGAGCGTCGCCACCACGACGTTTCAGTCACTTGCGCTGTCCAAGCAGGATGTGTATGCCGACATTCTCAGCTATGTCGACGAGATCTTGCGCCCCCTCACGGAGGCAAAGGACACGGAAGGCGGAAGCCGACCCCTGCCTGCAACCAAGCAGCAGAATCCAGATGTCACCAGGTCTTCTCGTCCTGGGTATGGATCGCATCAGGGGCCCACTCATGGCTACAGTCAACAGGAATGGAACGATTTCTACAACCAGTGGACTGACCAGGAATGGGAGGATTGGCGCCGACGCAACCAAGGTCACCAATACCAAACTCGACGTTGGTCTGGCTACCGCTGAGACACCGCGGAGGGGAACCTCTCGCCTGGTGAATTCTTCATCATCTGAGGCGGGGTAGTTTCGCTCTATATGAGGTGTCGCACAGCGGAAGCTGTTGCCTACTTTGATGTTAATTCGGGTAGGTGATTAGCTTCATTTGCACTGGTGGGTGTGCTATTCCACCGACATCCAAACTTGTGTGTGCTAAGTCGGAATTTTTGCCAACTCAATTCAAGTTCACAACATTCCCATTAACGCTTTGAACGCATATAATTTGAAGCAGGCATTTGGCACTCATTTCATTCTTGCCATGATTCCTTCTTGCTGAGCACACGGCTGGTAGTTGCATGTACCGCAGAGCGGAAGCTCTTGCCTTGCGAAGTTAAGGCAGCTTTGAAGCATTTCTGAAAGCTTCCCTGCGGGTTCACACCAAAACTGAATTCAGCTTTTTGCCATAATTCATATCGCTTTGCTTTGGCAAGCTCCCGGGCGTCCACAAGAACTTTTGATGCCGCGTGGAAACGCCGGCCTTTGGAATGGGCCACTCTTCAACACGTTTGCATGTTCGACCACAAGCCCGGTTGAGCCTAAAATGAAGCTGAATGCATCCGACCGAATTGATCTTGACAGCATCCGTTGACCATTGTACTTGATGTCTGAATCGATGGATCTCTTTGTCATGTCTTGTTGCCTATCTTCGCACGCCTGAGGTGAGAAGGGAAAGACCCACTGGAAGGAAGGCCTTGTTTCCGGGGGGTTTTGTTTTTGTGGGTTGTTGGTTTATTGTTAACGGCATCCCTTATCTAATGTACTATAGACGAATTTGCAGCTTCACCCCATGTATATAGGTCTTCACTGCACGGGGGGTGTTGTTGCACAGTCTACATGTACATATAGTCCTTCTCACACTCTTTATTGTTGCGTGCATGGCTCAAGAAATAATGCTTCGCAGGTGTAATTGTTTTGTGGCTAGTTGTGACTGTTAGCCTATTTCTACATTTCGGGACTTTCCTACCTTTTCGCGCACCTGGATCTTCTTTCTTCTGAGACTTTCTCTTCTCTGATCTTCTCTCTTCTTCTCTTCTCTTCTCTTCTCTTCTCTTCTCTTCGCTTCGCTTCGCTTCGCTTCTCTTCTCTTCTCTTCTCTTCCCTTCCCTTCCCTTCTCCTCCCTTCCCTTCCCTTCCCTTCCCTTCGCTTCGCTTCTCTTCTCTTCTCTTCTCTTCTCTTCCTCTTCCTCTTCCTCTTCCTCTCCTCTCCTCTTCTCTTCTCTTCTCTTCTCTTCTCTTCTCTTCTCTATTCTTCTGCTCCACCTCTGCTTTTCACCTGTCCATATAGTCGGAAGTTTGACTTCTAAACTTCCTTCGACAAAAGGACCCAAAAATGTGTTTGTGATCAATGTATCGTCACCCTTTTAAGTTGCTTGAAAGTGATTGAAGGCGTTTTTTGTGTATCCGAATATGCATTTCGAATGTTTTTCGACTGTTTGCATTGTCAAGTTCGAAGCAGGAGACAGGCAGTTAGAAAGCACAAAGGCCACCGCATGGAATCAGAAAGTGCTTGCCAGACTGTCGCAGACTGTCGCCCTTGTTTGGACAGAGCATGATATTCACACATAGACACGTATAGGTCATATTATAAATGTCTCTCTCCTCGCGCTCTATGCATATACAGAATAATAATATATATATATATATATCAGCTGGTACAACCACACGCCATTTGCACCTAATCAGACTCAGGATCGTTCTGTCTGACACCAGTCAGAAGCTGGGTCCGGCTAACCCAGTGTGGGGTCGGCGCACCAAGCGTCAGTTAGCCACGGTTCAAATTGAGGACAAGGCCTGTGGTGGGAAGCCTACCGATCTCGGTGTCGCCATTTTGTGATAATGTAGGCTTTTCGTGGCTGCGCATGATCACAACCAGTTGCTGATTGATGTGCTGTTTTTCTTGGTTTTTCATTTTCCAGGGTGATATAGTGGCTAGCTGTAGCCAGGTCCAAGTTGCTTTTTGAAGCACAAGGCTTTTTGAATGCTATTGAGGTGTTGCCGAGTTGCATGTTTCAACAAATGCTGGCCTATGCTGCAGAAGTTGTTGAGATTGTTTGCTGCCTAGTGGCCGCAGGGAAGTCCAAAAAAGCTACGGGCTTGCTGTGAAAAATGCCTTCATGAAAGTCTATTCTTAAACATTTAGAATCGTTTTATCCGAATGCGTAGCAAGGGTTCCCTTGTCACTCTGGGGGTTTGCGGGTTGAGGGTGTGTTCGCTCGACGTTGCGTTTGCGACCGCAACCGTCCGCAACCGCGTGAGGGCCCTATGCCCGTGCATGCCTGTGGGGAGTGCTGCAAAAGCGGTCACTTTTGAAGTTTCAAAGGTCCCGTAACCTCGTTTCGTGTGGCAGGTGTGGCACCTTGTGACATTCTCACGTGTCTGAAAAGCGTCAAGAATCGCTTGTTGTGACAGGCGCAATACTTTTGCAGGGTGTTCAGACAATGAGTTGCATATTTTGTAGCAGGTGCAGCCCTTTGGAGACCTCGATCCTCGTTTTTTTCGTGGCAGGCGGAGCACTTTGGACATGTCGTGTTGCGCGTTGGGCTGTGCAAGTGATGACAACGTGCAAATTCTGTGGCAGGTGTGTCATTTTATGACATGTTTTGAAAATTGACGGGAGCCTCGCACGAAACATCGATTGCAAGGCCACAAATGGGGTTCACGAGAACTCGTTGGAAAACGTCGATTTTGTAGCTACAAAGTGTGCAAATTTGAGGAAGTCTCGTACGAAATGCTCGTTTTGAAGCTTCTACATGTCTTCTCTCGAGTCTTTGGTTTTGTTCTGGCGTCGCCGTGCCCATCTGGGAAGCTGCACAACCTCGCATTTTAGAAGGTTTCAAAAGAGGTTGTTACCTCGTTTCGTGTGGCAGGTGTGGCACCTTGTGGCATTCTCAAGTGTCTGATAAGTGTCGGATGGTTTGTTGTGACAGGCACAATACTTTTGCAGGGTGATGAGTTGCATTTTCCCCCACGTCTTTGTGTGGGGTTTGTTTTTCATTCACCGCCTACTCCGCCACCCCCTCTTTGACACACACACGCACACAACTTTGTCACACAGCATCTTTCACACACAACTTTGTCACACAGCATCTTTCACACACAGCTTTGTCACACAGCATCTTTCACACACAACTTTGTCACACAGCATCTTTCACACACAACTTTGTCACACAGCATCTTTCACACACAACTTTGTCACACAGCATCTTTCACACACAACTTTGTCACACAGCATCTTTCACACACAACTTTGTCACACACCACCTTTCACACACAACTTTGTGGCACTTGGCGACATCCGCATTCTCTTTGCGTGGCAGGCGTGGCGCTTATTGGCTCTGGTGGCGCGCTTGGGCGCCGCTTGGGCGCCGCTTGGTCGCAGGTGACGCCGCGGCACTTTGCGTGGCAGGCGTGGCACTTGGCGACATGGACCTTCGTTTCGCGTGGCAGGAGCTCTGGGCTGGCTCTGGTGGCTCTAAGATGGACGTCTAACAGTTCATGACTCAGGCTGATGTTACGCAGCAGGTGCCTCGATTTCGGAAACTTCTGTTGTAGTTGACGGTAGGTCCCTAATCTTATGTAAGTCGATGCCTTTCAGGGCGATCCGCCCTCGAGCGCGGCCACGTCATTGGCGTTCAAGGCTGGACATAATATAGTTTTTACTTGTTAGATTGTAGGGCAGGACTAGCCCAAGGCTATTCCGCAGGAGGTGGCTTTGATCATTGCTTCATTCATTGCGGATGCATTGAGCATTGCTGACGTGCGCCATGCTTAATTATCTAGAACGGCCCGGTAGCCGAGTTCCTTTCATGCCCTATAGCCGAAATCTTTCACACACATAATTGTGTCACACACCATCTTTCACACACAGCTTTATCACACACAACTCTTCAAATACAACTTTGTTTACTTCTCGATCCTCCACCACCTCCTTTGTCCTTTCCTTCTTCCCCGTCCCGCTTCAACTTTTGTTGCTCATTATTGCAAGAAATTGACTTGTGGGGTTAACCGGTCCTTTAATTTGTAGCAGGCGCAGCGCTTTGGAGACCTCGATCCTCATTTTGCCTGGCAGGCGGAGCACTTTGGACGTATCGTGTTGTGTGTTTTTTGCGAATCGCGATGTCAGGGCTGCGTCAAGCGGTGACAACGTGCAAATTCTGTGGCAGGTGTGTTTACCTTACTTACACTTTACACTCCACACTCTACATCCTAATCTTTACAATTCACACTCCACACTCTACACTTCGCATTTTACATTCCACACTACTCTACACTCCACACTATACACTTTACACTCCACACGCCACACTGCACACTACACTTTTCACACTTTGCACGTCACACTTTCGACTAAGACTTGACACTCCACACTGTACGCTTTTCACTCCACACTCTACACTTTACACTTTACACTCTGCACTTTACACTTAGCACTCCGCAATAGATTTTACGCTCACTCCACACTCCACACTTTACACCCGGCACTTCGCACTCCACAATCCCCCACTTGCACGCTACACGCCACATTCTTCACTCAACACTCCTCTGTCTTGACACTCCACATTCTGCATTCCAAACCATTCCACACTACACTCCACGTTCTACACCCTACACTCCACGCTCCACACTTTACACTTTACCCTTTACACTTTACACTCCACACTCTACATGCTACACTCTAGACTACACTCCACACTGTGCACTCTACACCTAGCACTCCACACTCTACACTTTACACTCAACACTCTACACTGCATGCTCCCATAATATACAATTTTTGTTTCCCGGCAGCCGGCCGGCAACCGCACGGCCAGCGGCCGGCCACCGGCCGGCACCCTTTTGGCATTCAACGCGGGCCACCCGCTACTTGGTGGATGGTTTTGGTCTAAAGCGTTTGCAAGTACCATGCAACCTAGTTGTAAAGTATTTACAACCTAGTGTAAGTTAAGCTAAGTTAGCTAAGTTTTTTATCTTATTTTACGGTAGTTGTAAGTATTTACCAAAGATAAACTAGATAGTTAAGTTTTGTAAGTTTTTTTGGAGTTAACAAAAAACCAACCAAAATAACTTATAAGTAACTTGGGAAATTTAACTTCTTTTGGAATTTAAGAGCTATTTTTTGGTCTTGCCTAAGACATTAGAAATTGTCTGTTGGTTTCTATTGAGAAACACAATATATATATATATATAATGTTTTCATTCTCTTGAGTTGCCCGATTCCCACATCTGCCATGTTGCAGCTAGATTCGCTGTCACTTCTTTTTGATGTTGTATTCAATGTTCAGAAGATATCAAAATTTCCACCCCCGTGGAACTTCAAATTGACCTTGAGTGTGTACAATGGTAAGAAGATATCAAAAATCGCGCCCCCGTCGAACTTGAGATAACCTTTGAGTGTGTACAATGGTAAGAAGATATCAAAATTCCCATGTACAATGGTAGGAAGATATCAAAATTCCCACCCCCATGGAACTTAAAATTCACCTTTGAGTGTGTAAAACGGTATGAAGATAACAGAATTACCACCCCCATGGAACGTCAAATTCACCTTGAGTGTGTACAATGGTTAGAAGATATCAAAATTCCTGACCCTATTGACCTTGAATGTGTACAATGGCAATGAAAAAGATATACAAATTCCCACCCCATGGCATTTGAATTTGATATTGAGTGTGTACAATGGGAACTAAGAAGATTTTAAAATTCCCACCCCCACCAAAATTGAAATTGATATTGAGTGTGTACAATAGGGTTTGCTTTTTCAACTTTGACATGGCATGCAAGTGTCAACCTCGGCCTGTGGCACTTGGAGATCGGATTGATACTTTCTGTTGTTTTCTACATGATCTTCTCCTGCATGGACTTTCAGAATCCCAGCAGGGAGTTTCATGATCTGACTTCTGGGTTTCAAAATCCCTCTTCAGAGTTTCACAATTTGGTGTTAGAGTTTCACAATCCCCCCTGCAGAGTTTCACAATACGATTTCCCCAGTTTCACAATGTAAGTTTCACAATACGACCTGCAAGCTTCAGAATACAACCTCCAAGTGTCACAATCCAAGTTTCAGAATCCGACGTTGACCTGTTCACCAAGGGTTTCTTCAAGGTTTCCTTTGAATTTCTTGATGGTTCATTGCATTTTTCTTCAGGTTCCATTTAGTGCATGTTCAAAGTTTTTGCAAGGTTTCCTTCAGGTTTCTTTCCATGTTTCTTGCGCGTTTGTTTCACGGTGTCTTGATGCGTTTCTCTTACAAATTCTTTGCGGGTTTCTTTTGGTTTTCTTGCACGGTTTCTTTTGAGTTTCTTGCTGGTTTCTTGACGGTTTCTTTCTGGCACGCATTTTTTCAACAGCTTTCCCCGATCGAGGCCCGCAACAGCGGAACCACAGACCCTCTTTTCGCGCCCCTAAGAGCCACCTATAAAAATACAAAGTTTCGCGCCCGACAATGTTTTCACCCGCAAATTCAAACGCTGCCAGGTTTTTTCATTAACTATTCCAGGGTGGGGGTTGACATGATGATGCGGTTGACATGTCCATGTTAAACATGGCTACCGCCCCTTATTTGGAAGTTTCCTAATTACTTAAATATCCGGCCGGCAACCGGCACCGGCCGGCCACCGGGTGACCGGGTGCCCCTTCAGACGTACGGCCCGGCACCGGCCGGCACCGGCCGGCAACCGGCACCGACAACTAGACGAGAGCGAAAAACACGTTTTTCAAGCAGCTCTCAGGATGGTAGTCGTAAAAGATAGTCGGTGAATAGTTGGTGAATATTATATGAGCTATGGAAAAGGTATCAGATAACATGTGTGAAAAGGTAAGATTGATCAAGAAGAGAATATTTGGTAAAGGGCAGATGACATGTGTCTTGCAACCACAGAGAGAAAGAGGGAGGAGAGAGAGAGAGAGGGAGAAAGAGAGAGAGAGAGAGAAAGAGTGAGAGAGAGAATGAAAGGGGGGGGTAGAAAGAAAACATGGAGAAATGTAATGTGAGGAACAAAAGTGCACAGGAGGCTCGGTACCATGAGTCTGCGAATGACATGTGTTATCTCATTTTATTATGGTAATTCCAACACGCATCGCGGAAAAAGGCTCGGCACCATCATTCCGTGAACGCGAAGAAACGCGACGCTTTTATACAGAGACGCTTTTCTATTTTGCGAAGCTCCATTACAGACATTTCTTCCAGGCCCCTCGGAGCCAATCACGGCCCCTGGTCACAACATTGCTACGCAGCTCCTGCAAACGGATTTCCACGGCATTGGAAGACGCGGTCGCCTGCTCCATTCGCACGGACAATTCCTTCAGCAAACGAAACAGTGACCACGATGCAGGTACGCCACTTGAACCCAACATTTTGCATGCAGATAATGTTCACTAACAAGCATGTTCACCGTCAATCTCTCTCATTTCCATGTTGTCCACCAAGAACAAAAGACGCAACACAAACAAAGTTCCAAAAATGTACATCCGGACCGCCATCATCACCCTCACTGCAACTAAAGCAACCGAGCTCCACACATTGCCAGCGCGGGTGCTATCAATCATCCATCCTCAGCTGATGCCCAACAGTTCTGTATTATCATGCTAAACACAAATCAATCCTTGCAGTCACAATCTCCAAAGAATCAATGCAAGACCTCATCCACAGAAAAAAAGATATCCAGAGTCCAGAGTATTACTTTCAAGGCATCACTTGAGGCTCCGACCAAACGATTCCTTTGTAGAAGATGTAGTTGAATGCCGCTCGCACAGACTTGTGCGATAAAACTCCATGCTTGATTTGGAACAACCAGAAAACACAACCACCAAAGAATGAATGCAACACCATGCCCACAGAGACAGAACACAGACACTTTTACGCACAAACCATGTTATACACAGAAGCTTCTACGCACAGACGCTTTTACACACAGACGCTTTTGCACGCAGACGCTTTTACACACAGACGCTTTTACACACAGAAGCTTTTACACACAGACGCTTTTACACACAGACGCTTTTACACACAGATATTCTTACACACAGACGCTTTCACACACCGAGATTTTTACACACAGACGCTTTCACACACAGATGCTTTTACACACAGAAACTCCTGTACATACAGACGCTTTTACACAGACACTTTTTTCACACAGACGCTTTTACACACAGACGCTTTCACACACAGACGCTTTTCCGCACAGACCCTTTTACACACAGAAGCTTTTACATACAGAGACTTTTACACACAGACGCTTTTACACACAGACGCTTTCACACACAGACGCTTTTACGCACAGACCCTTTTACACACAGAAGCTTTTACACACAAGAGCTTTTACACACAGACGCTTTTACACACAGACGCTTTTACACACAGACGCTTTTACACACAGAGGTTTTTACACACAGACGCTTTCACACGTTGTGCAGTTTTTACACACGGACCCTTTTACACATAACAGCTTTTACACACAGACGCTTTTACACACGGACGCTTTTACACACAGACACTTTTACACACAGACTGCTCACAAAGACGTTTACACACAGAAACTTTCACACACAGCAACTCCTTTACACACAAATACTTTCACATATAATAACCGGACCCGTGAAATGGCAATTTTTCCTTAGTTTTTGACGTCCAACGTCCATTTTGTGCGAAAGGCTTGCGATGGATACTTCAAAACTGCAATTTTTCCTCAATTTTTGACGTCCAACGTCAATTTCGTGCGAAAGGGTTGCAAAGTGACACCTTTTTTGGCAATTTTTCCTCATTTTTTAACGTTCAACGTCCATTTCGTGCGAAAGGGTCGCGATGGACAAAGTAAACTCGCAATTTTTCCTCAATTTTTGAGGTCCAACGTCCATTTCGTGCGAAAGGGTTGCCCGGGGACACCTTAAATCGCAATTTTTCCTCATTTTTTAACGTTCAACGTCCATTTCGTGCGAAAGGGTCGCGATGGACAAAGTAAACTCGCAATTTTTCCTCAATTTTTGACGTCCAACGTCCATTTCGTGCGAAAGGGTTGCCCGGGGACACCTTAAATCGCAATTTTTCCTCAGTTTTTGACGTCCAACGTCCATTTCGTGCGAAAGGGTCGCGATGGACGGGTTAAACTCGCAATTTTTCCTCAGTTTTTGACGTCCAACGTCCATTTCGTGCGAAAGGGTCGCGATGGACGGGTTAAACTCGCAATTTTTCCTCAGTTTTTGACGTCCAACGTCCATTTCGTGCGAAAGGGTTGCGTTTCGTGGCGCTCCGGCGGCACCGCCCCCGCCTTAAGAGAGAATAGAAAGAAGAGCGAGAGGGGATCTGCAGATGTGAAGGTGTGAAGATGTAGATCAGCAGATGTGAAGGTGTGAAGATGTAGATCTGCAAGTGTGAGGGTGTGAAGATGTAGATCAGCAGATGTGAGGGTGTGAAGATGTAGATCTGCAGGTGTGAGGGTGTGAAGATCTAGATCTGCAGGTGTGAGGGTGTGAAGATGTAGATCTGCAGGTGTGAGGGTGTGAAGATGTAGATCTGCAGATGTGAGGGTGTGAAGATCTAGATCTGCAGATGTGAGGGTGTGAAGATCTAGACCTGCAGGTGTGAAGGTGTGAAGATGTAGATCAGCAGATGTGAGGGTGTGAAGATGTAGATCAGCAGATGTGAGGGTGCGAAGATGTAGATCAGCAGATGTGAGGGTGTGAAGATGTAGATCAGCAGATGTGAGGGTGTGAAGATGTAGATCAGCAGGTGTGAAGATGTGAAGGTGTAGATCAGCAGATGTGAGGGTGTGAAGATGTAGTATAACGGCTGCTTTTTTACGAAGAACCCTTCTCAGGCGCTCTCGGGGAAAAAATATACTCCATGCTCCACACTTTACACTTGACACTCCAAACTCCACACTTTACACCTCCACACTCTACACTTTACATTTTACACTTCGCGCTTCACACTTGACACTCCACACTCTACACTTTACACTCCACACTCCTACATTTCACGCTCCACACCCAGCTTTACACTTTGCACTCCAGACTGTACACTTGACGCTCCACATTTTACACTTTACACTCGACACTTCACACTCTACACTTTACACTCCACACTCTGCACTTCACACTTTACACTCCAGACTGTACACTTGACGCTCCACACTCCAGACTGTACACTTTACACGCCAGACTGCACAATGTGCACTTCGCACTTTGCACTTCACATTTTACACCTCACACTTGACACTTGACACTCCACACTCTGCACTTTACACTCCACACACTACACTTTAGTCTCCGCACTCTACACTTTTTACTCCACCTCTACACTTGACACTTGACACTACACTCTACACTTTACACTCAACACTTCACACTCCACAATCCCCACTTCACACCCTACACACTACATTCCCCACTCAACACTCCACTGTCTTCACGCTCCACGCTCTGCACGCCACTCCATCCCACACTCCACAGTCTACACCGGTACGGTAACAGAGAAAAATGCACAAGACTTTTGAAATAACGTGTTTCACTAAAGAGCTTTGGTTTACGTGGCTGCATCCCTATGTGTTTCGACACCTGTGCCATTAACATATGTGCGAGCATTCGGGTTCATGGGCTGTATCTTGTTTGCTGGGGCTTTCGCCCTCCAGAACTCAAGGAAATTTCGGTCGGTCTAGCAGTTGAAACTAACCAGTTTTAAGGTTTCAGACTCAAGGTTTGACATGCAATGAAAGCCAGAGTTGCAGAAATTTGAAACCGCCACCAGTCACCAGTCTACAAATTTGGCAGGGTTGGTGAGTGCTGAGCTAGATTGCAGAGAAATGGTAAAAATTGCCAAATATAATCACATGTGTGGTTGTGGCACAAGAGCTCTTAAGGCCTGTGCTCTTCGTTTAGCGATGACTAATGGTATCCGAATGGCTAGTCACTGGCAACAATCTGCAGATTTGGATGTCAGAAACTTGTAGAGGTTTGTGAGGCACCTCTTGTGGTATCGTGACATGCTGCATCATCCTGGTTTCTCGGGTCAGTGCCATCTCAAATATGAATCATATAGGAGCATACCATATCATAGCAAACTACTGATAAAATTGTTCAATATACTATTTGAGGCGGACACGCGATAATCAGAGTATGTCCGGGTGACAGTTTGGCACCCATGTGCTTTGTTTTGGGCATTTTGCACCTGTTCCCTTTGCCTCGCATGGGCGGTGCTCCCAATCAACACAAAGATCAGGCAACTCTTGGCAAGGGTATCAATTAATATATGAATAGCTTTGTTTTTTTTCGGTTCTTCATGAAATTGTTGTTGAGATTCTTGAGGTGAACCAATTTGGTTGCAGGGCGAGTCATTTTTTACACTGTCCACTGTAGTCCAGTTTTGAGTTCAGCCCCTTTTGAAATCGACTGACTAATGTGAACATGAATTCATAGAGAATTGATGTTGATTCTTTGCTTCTCATGCATAGCATTTGCATGCCATTTGCAGGGCATCCATGACTTGCTTCTGATCACCTCAACATGTAACAGCTGATAGCAGCTGACAACAGCTGGCAACAGCTGTGACCCTCCCTGCGAATTCTGCCAGATCGAGACAGACAGTGAGGAGTCAGAGCCCGACCTAGGCCGTGGGGCCTTGGGGCCGTGCTGCTTTCGGCTGGATGCCGGGCAGAAGTCGGAAGAGTTTTGAAAGACTTCGTCGGAACACTCCTAAATTAATCTAAGGGTTCTGTGGTCTGTTGTGTTCATCAAGTATTCGTCAAAACTTCGGAGAAAATCTCGTTGTTCAAAGACATATTTTTTTTGATTTGGGCATAGGACATGAAATCAGCTGAAAGCTCTGTGGTGCCCAGACCGCCTCACATAGCTTTAGAAGAAACTCGCAGCCATACCCTGGAGATGGTTCAAATATTTATTTTGTCATTTTTTTGTCGTTTTTTTTGTCATTTTTTTGTCATTTCAGTTGTGTCTGTCATTTTGTTTGTCATTTTTTTGTCGTTTTTTTGTCATTTCAGTTTTGTCTGTCATTTTGTTTGTCATTTTTTTGTCGTTTTTTTTGTCATTTCAGTTTCGTCAGTCATTTTTTTTGTCATTTGTTTGTCGTTTTTTTTGTCATTTCAGTTTTGTCTGTCATTTTTCGAAGAATTTTCAATCGTTTTCACTATTTTTCACTATTTTTGAGAAAATTGCACCAAAACGACAAAAAAAATACAAATTTTCAACAAAATGACAAAAAAATGACAAAAAAAAATGCACTTTTGCAGGTGGCAAAAATTGCATTTTTCTCGAAGCATTGTCATTTTTTTGTCATTTTTCTGTCATTTTTCGAAGATTTTTTCGATCGTTTTCACTATTTTTGAGAAAATTGCACCAAAACGACAAAAAAATGACAAATTTTCCACAAAATGACAAAAAAATGACAAAAAAAATTGCACTTTTGCAGGTGGCAAAAATTGCATTTTTCTCGAAACATTGTCATTTTTTTGTCATTTTTCTGTCATTTTTCGAAAAAAAAATCGATCTTTTTCACTATTTTTAAGAAAATTGCACCAAAATGATAAAAAAATGATAGAAAAATGACAAAAAATGACAATGCTTCGAGAAAAATACAATTTTTGCCACCTGCAAAAGTGCTTTTTTTTTGTCGTTTTTTTGTCATTTTGTGGAAAATTTGTCATTTTTTTGTCGTTTTGGTGCAATTTTCTCAAAAATAGTGAAAACGATTGAAAAAATCTTCGAAAAATGACAGACAAAACTGAAATGACAAAAAAAACGACAAACAAATGACAAAAAAAATGACTGACGAAACTGAAATGACAAAAAAAACGACAAAAAAATGACAAACAAAATGACAGACAAAACTGAAATGACAAAAAAAACGACAAAAAAATGACAAAAAAAAGACAGACAAAACTGAAATGACAAAAAAAACGACAAACAAATGACAAAAAAAATGACAGACAAAACTGAAATGACAAAAAAAATGACAAAAAAAAACGACAAAAAAATGACAAAATAAATATTTTGATTTTTTCAACCTTTGCCTGCCTAAGTTTCTTCTAAACATAGCTGGCTCAGACTTAGATGGCCAAGATTCGGGTGGTTTCACTATTTCATTCTGCAGTTCTGCTATAGCTAGGAGTGCGGGGGAGCAGGGCTTTGACCCCTGTTCCAAGCCTGTGGGCTCATTTGTGCCATTTTGTGCCCATCCTTGAGAAGACTGAACACATCTTGGGTTATATCCCAAGGTGTTACTTCGGCCTCGGCTGTTTTGAAATGTTGTGCCCAATGTTAGCACCCAAGACAATCAAGACAATTGTACGACTTTCGGCCAGGCCCTCTTCGGTCTTTGGGTCAGATCCGGCAGAAGAGTGGAATGGAAGATGCTTTCGGAGATTCAGCGATGGGAGCAACTTTCGAGAGTTTTGCCACGCCGTTGGACGGCGATGGGACGACGGCAGATGCGGACATCACAGATGAAGGACAGTCGGACATCAGTCGGACATCAGTCGGACATCCGGGACGTCACGGGATGTCGGGGGATGTCCAGGGGATGTGGCAATTCGCCTGAGGTGCTCCGGACATCTCTCGACTCTAGGCTTCTCTTGGTGCAAGCTCTGAAAGCAGCGTAGTTGATCCTATATGAATGCCAAGCGTTCCCCAGAATTCGCGCTCTCATGTCCTGAAGCCACGCATCGGCTGAATCGAGAACATATTAGAGAACATCATTTGAGCACAGACCTAAAAAGCTCATCCAGAAACCATTACATGAGAGGTCCTATGGTTGAAATGTGTTGCAAACCATGGAAAGCGTTATTGTGACCTACTTAAAGCGACAGCGTGATGTGATGGTGAAGTTGAAAGGTGTTGCTGTTGTTTTTTTGCAGCGATTTGGGATTGTATGGTACCCTCGTGTGCATGGTTTTAGTATTCGTCGGATGTGAATCCAGGGGCTCCCAAAAGGCCTACAAGTGCTGTGCTCCCAACAGGGACAGAGCACGCTTCTGACCACAGAACTTGCTGCCAAAACCAGGCTCTGGAAAGCAGAGACTGTGCTTGAGAAACAAGCTTTCACATGTTTCCCAATTTTATCTGTTGAAATTATCGATAACCAAATCGATAACGTAGCGATAACCAAAAAAATTGTCAAATGGGGCCCTGGGCAGCCAGAGGCCCAATCCATCCCTTGAGTGGAGCATTTCAACTTTGCGTCAAGCCTTGAAACATCTACTTGGGGTGGTCCAGCCCGGCCTTGAAACCTATCATTGAATATAACTTCGATCTAAAGATCCAAAGAGATGAACAGAATCTGCAGCGCAACAGTGCAAAAACCAAGCTGTTCCGAGGGAAAATCCTTCCGCGCTTTGTTGACAAACAATGGACAGCAGACTGCGAACCATGAAGTGCCCCTATGGTTGATGTGGAGATGAATGGAAATGGATCTCCAAATCAATAGTTGTTGTTTGACATGCTACAAAACCTTAGTAAAGCGATATGGCGAACTACCTAAATCGACAACTTTTGCCATGACCGCCTTGTGGCCCTTAGTTTTGGCCCCTTGCTCATGTGACCTTCGATGAGATGAGACAAGACGATGATATTTTGATATATTTATTTGTGGCTCTTGGGTTCTGCGGACATTTAAAGAAATCTTTGTTTGAAGTCACTAGTTCAGACATGTTCCTATACGGGAAATTGTGTTGAGTTAAATTTGATGCATTGCTACCCTGCCCTTTTCATACAACCTGTTGCGATCTTTCGATGGATATCACATTGACCTCCGTACCCACAAAATCCCACAACCATGGTAATCACACAGCACTGAGTCTTGAGGCCTTCAATCAAGCCTCAACAATCCTCTTTGCATCCACTTTCTCCCTCACAATCTGTGCATCTCCATCTGAGGGCATTTCAACAGAAGGTAACTTCTGGGTTTTGCCGAAAGCATCTCATAACATGTCTAAAGGGTCTAAAAAGCCTACCGAGTCTAAACTACGCCGCGATCACCTGATGGATTTGACCTGTTAGGAGTTGAGCTCGTCCTGGACGCCTCGCACCACATTGCCCGGGGCATCGTGGATCGAACTCGTGGCGCACGGGTGGTTCTTTTGGACGAAATGATGGAGTCTATGGAAGTTCCTCGGCACACGCCTCAGGGCAAACGGCAACGGTTGCAACGGTTGGAACGGTTGCACACCCTGAGCAACTCATGAGCAACGCCGCAAACCCATCCCGATGACGTATCGTGACATATCCGCCTATGATATCGCACGATGCATTCGATGCATTCGATGCATGGCATGCAATGGTATGCAACATGTGCATCCATGTGCGTCCCATGCAACAATCAGCCATGTCCATGTTGGCTCACAAATCAAAAGTCGCAAAAGCTAGAGCAACTAGGGGTAGCTAGCTGGAGCCTCTTCTTTGCAACTAGGGGCCGCCTGTTGGGGAATTCGAGGAGCTTTTAGTTTGCGCCCCTGCACATGTGGGAGATGATTGGACGATGTCCACAGGTTTGAATGACGCCAGGAAACCATTCCTCAAGAATGGGGAGCTTTCAACCAGCGAATGGAACATTTGATATATGCATGTTTAAGTATGTTTTCAGTACCGGGGTCAGTCGCTGACAAAATGAAAGCCTAAATTCCAGACGAAGTGCTGTCTCTAGCCTCAACGAGGGAGCGATGTCACCAGGGGCCCGATTTTGCAAAGGGCAATGCTGATTCGGGATGTTCAAGATCTATTGAATCTTTTGGATGGACTAGCATTTTTTTGCAGTTCGCTGCGCTATCAAGACGCACACACAATACTAAAGATCCAAGTGCGCAGCTGGGGGTTGAGCACCTTTTTCCAAAAACATTGAAGATTGAAGACAGTGTTTTTTTCAACGAGTTCAATACCTTCTTTTCTTTCTTTCAACGCTTGATTGGCCAGCTGCCACATTTGCCACGCCGCGGCTTTCAAAACGCTTTGCCACGACGAGTTTGGTCATCCTGAGGTGCTGAACAATGTATCGACGGTGTTGGAAGTCTTGGGTAAGAGGACCCGGGACTTAGAAGCGCAGCAGAGGCAGATTTTGAAGCATCACTGAGCCGAGCCCCAGAAAATTCCAGAAGCACAAGCCACTGGAAACCAGACAAAGACCAGGATAGAACTTCAAAGCGCCCGGCGTCAAATGTTAGCCTAGACTTATCACAAGGCTCTGCATAAGTGACTTTCATGGACCTGAACCTAAGACCCCTCGGTACAAGGAGCTTGGCTTTTGATGCTCTGTCCTATTCTGTCCTCAAGCCTTTTAGCCACAGAATACTAGACCCGCACGGCCAAAGTTGGTGGCAGCAGTGGCGACACCTTTTACTTTGTGCATAACGGGCTAGAGCGGCTAGAGTGCAAAGAGAGGTAGCCACTTAGCCAATGACTGGCTTGGATAGGCACCCTTTTAGAAGCAGTGAGTTGCAACCCCTGGTGATGGTCATGTTCGATGCACCAGCACTGATCTTGAAGGCTAGTTCACGAGCTCATCAGAAGTGTGTTGGGTTTCCTTAGTCTAAATCAGACCAGTACAATGCTGCGGCGACCAAATTCCCAACGCTCTGCAAATGCAGATGCGGGATGGCCTCGCTCGTTTTTCATACCAAAACGGCATATCACATGGCGAGCTCCAGAATCTGAAAGGACATGAGCAGCTCATGTGGGGCAAAAAGGCTGACAGTCTTGTGGTGTTGTCCAATGAAAAAGTGCAGGGGTTTCAGGTCAGTCGTTACGTTCAAGGGCCCTGGCAAGATTAAGATCACATGGATGTGACGATTCACTTCGCCACATTTTTGTCATGTGTCAATACTGCATCCACAATCCCAGGGAGATCTTCTATCACAATCATGGGTTCAGAGTCATTGCAATTTCTTTCAAGGATGGTGCTCAGAGCTGTGCTCTCAAAAACGGTCTTAGTTGAAGAAGCAAAACAAATTTCAGTTGTGCGCGCCAAACGAGAAGCTGGCTATGACAATGTCGATGAAGATGATGATCTGGACATATTAAGATGGTTTAAGATAACTTAAGATGATTTAAGATTAAGGTTATTTAAGCTAGTTTGCATATGCACAACTCACACCACACCACACCATGTACAAGCTGCTGGTGATATTAGCATAGGCTGACCATGATAAGACATGGGGTGCTGCTCCTCCTGCTGCTCCGTTGGTGGTCAGTTTGTGCTGCTTTGTTTTGGAATCGCTAGTAGGGCTGCATCAGCCTTGTCATCCTCGTATCTAAAGTAACCTAAAGGATTGACAAACCCCATCAAACCCCTCCATTTGAAATATTTTGGCCCGTTTTGACGATATTGTTGGTCTTTGTGATGTTGGTGGTGTAACATGTCACAGTGTTGTGGCTTGAAATGTTTTCCAACAGTTTCCGCCGGTGCAAGAGGAGGGGATGTGGAAGCGCGGGCAGCGGATGAAGGAGTGAGGCGATTGTGAGACGGGGAACTGTCATCATACAGACCCGATTCTGATCGTTGTGACGACATTGTGAGGCAATGTGTGTGTCTGTGACACAGCGGCATCCACGCGGAGCCGCGGAGGTTGACGCTAGGACTCTGGTTTCACACAACAAGCGTCAAACTGACGTTTGTGTTTCACAGCTGACACAGGCTTCTGACTTTCCATGTTTTCCCTGCATTGAGCTGCTTCCCCGCAGAGTAGTTTGATGCACTCTAACCATTCACATTCTTTTGCTACAGATCCATGTTGGCTTGAACAGATTAAGAAGTCGGCTTTCTAACCATTCTCCATGGCCAGTTTTTTGCACTTGCGCCCCTGCATCGCAAGTTCCGATCTTTGTGGGCCGTGCATGTGTAATGCAGAAATGTAGATATACATATACGCATAAAGATACAAAATTAGAGATGGATATAGATACATACATAGATAAAAATAGATAAGACATAGATAGATAAAAAAACAAGTAGATAAATACGTATGTAAAAAATGGGAAAATAGAAAGCCGTAGAGATAGATAGATAGATAGATAGATAGATAGATAGATAGATAGATAGATAGATAGATAGAGAGAGAGAGAGCGATGGATGGATGGATGGATGGATGGATCGATAGATAGATAGATAGATAGATACATAGATAGATAGATAGAGAGGGAGATAGATAGAAAGATAGATAGATAGATAGATGGATAGATAGATAGATAGATATTATTTCAAACCTTAGTCTCTTAAATTTGGATTCCTGTTGATTTCATATGTCCAGGGAAAGAACTATGGAAAGAACTATGTAGCAATCCATGGAAATAAGGGGTGTTTCCACTAAAAATGTCACCCAATGAAGAAACCCACCACTTTGAAAGAAAAACGCATTGCTCCAAGTTCTTGGACAAAAAACCTTTCAACATCAAGGTAGATGTTACATACAAACTTCGTATTTGAAAATATTGGTCCGTAAGTTGGAAAGGAAAACAGTATACAACAATATACAACATCTGTGTAATTCGGGGCCCCATAATTCTTCAAAAAGGAGAACACCAAAGAATGCATGTGCGCAAGCTCCAACTAGAAAAAAAAAACTCATAAAAACAATATTACGATGTGACCCTGTATACTGTAAAATTGGTTAACTAGTGCATTGATGAGTGTATGTATGGCTGTGTGCTCATGTGCATGGATGCACTGCAAATGCAAATCCACAGTTTTTAAGTATTGTTTTCGGTGCTGCGAAGACCACGGTAAAACTTAGGCAAAACATGGTGAAACAAATTTATAAACTGCAAACGGAATCCTACGTATTTGTAGCAGATCAAAGATGTGTTACTGTATTCCTGTCGCTACGTTGTTGTGCATTGGTCCGTAGCAGTGTTGCAGTAACAGATTACAATCATTATAAATATGTCATTTTATCCAAATACAACGCTTAAACTTTATTGTTGCGTTTTATACAAGCAAACCCCGTCGATATACTTCCAAACTTTCAAACATACACGAACAAACAAGAACATATAATTCATCTAAAAACTCAAACAGTCTTATATAAATCATAAATACAAAGCAAGTAAAGTAAAGCACACATCAAAAATATACTTATAAAGTTAAACAGTTGAAGTCAAATCGAGAAGTAAAGTCAAAGTTATGTTACAAGTTAAAGGTTCTAAGTTTTAGTTATAAGTTGTAAGTTCAAAGTTAAAAGGTTACAAAGTTATAAGTTACACAGTTTTTATTGTCAAGTCATAACTAGAAGCTTTAAGTTGTAAATTAACAGTTATAACAATGTGTTTCAATTTAAAAACAGTTTTTAAACCTTATAAATTGATTTATTGAAGTTTGATAGTCAAGAGTTATGGATTATGAGTTGTATTTTACAAAGTAGCTATAAGCTACAAGTGTGTATATTTGGTTTTATCAAGTTATATACAAGTATAAAAGTAAGTTAACATATAAGCCATTATTTGGGGTTTGCAGAACGGTTCGGAACGGTTCCGGGGATTTCCCCAGAACGGTTCGGAACGGTTCCGGATACTTCCAAAACCTCAGAACTATTTAGAACTATTTAGAACGGTTCCGGAACGGTTCCGGATTCAAAGCCTATAGACCCCAGAACGGTTCGGAACGGTTCCGGAGACCTCCATATAATAGCATATGTTAACTTGTATAATAGCATATTTTGACTATAATTATTTAACTTTAATACATAGAGTTTGAACAAATAAACACATACTAGTACCATAAGCAATGATGATTCGACACAAGCGATACTTTCAAACGGATATTTCAATACAAACTACACAGTTGTATGATTTTGTTAGAACAGATTCCACAGAACAGTTTTCAAGACAGGTAAGATTTTGAATTGGGCCACGCCTTCCATGAACAAACAGCTGAGAAACTTCCAGCCTTTTGTAGTCTACATCCAGTTTCACCTTCTCCCTTGTGCTCAGCATGCCTTTGCACTGCCTGTTCAAAGACTTAGGCGGAGAAGTTGCCTTCCCTTTGTCGTTTTTCTGACTCCTTGCTCTTGTAGCCTTGAGAAATATCTCCGTGCAAAGTTGAGGTCTGCAGAACCGTTCCGAACCGTTCTGGAGGTCTGCAGAACCGTTCCGAACCGTTCTGGGGACCTCTGCGCTAAGAAAATTGTCACGTAAATTGGTTCTCTGTGCCAAGAATCCCGGGAATAGGAAGGCACGGACAAGGTTGAGCCATTCCGGATGCATTAGTCCCAACCTGAAAGTAACCCATCATCACCCTCAAGAACCCCACCGCTAGCGCTATATATATATATTTTGAAAAGTATCAAATCATGGTCCAAGAAATTATCGGCAGCTATATACAATATAGTTTGTTTCTTGTATGGGTAGTAGCACGGTAGTAGCAACAGTCTTGCCAGAGTGACAAAATACCAACAATATAGCCTGGATGTTGCACTGCTACCGCTACTGCATATTTTTGATCCAGTCCAGAACTGGTGGGGAAAAAGACAGCAATGGGAATGCAGCCAACAACCGCATTGCCTTTGTTCTTTTTTTGAAAAGGGAAGTCACATAATCCCAACAGCCTGAACACATTGCAGAAGCCAGCTCAGCGCGCCCAAACACACATGGACTGCCTTCCAAATAATTGAAATTACATATTGATAGAATTCGACTTCAGCGCCTGTTCCTTCCACCTAAGTATTTCTCCAATTGCGCTTAAACCGCCTGAATCTTCCCTCAAACAAATGCAGCATCATAAATTAAACCCACTATCTGTATGCGGGTTGTGTATTTATTCAAGGTTTCAAGTATTTGGGGCAAGGTTGTTAAGTAATCAAAGCTGAATTTGGCCCAGTCTCACACTAGAAAATTAATTAGCTGCAAATAGAATTCCACTTCGGCGTTTGTTTCTGTCGCCTGAGTATGTCTCCCATCTTGAAGAAAAAGCAAGCCATATTTTCACCCAAATGCCAGCCCCAGACTAGAATTTGGAATACATAATCTACTTAAGCGCACATAGAATTCTACTTAGGCGTCAGTTTGTGACGCCTAAGCAAAATTTTGTTTGCGCCGAAGTAGATTAGGATTATGTTTTCCAACAGCCCCAGACTAGATTTTTATTTGCGCAT